CTTCTCCAGTAACAACTCCAGAGAACGGGATGTGAACTGCACTTAACGATATAAACCAGGGCTGCCTCCACATAACATCTGTTACTGGTCTGCCCTGAATTCAGCTCTGATTTAGGCAGTTCCTGGGTTGCAAATTTAGGTTGAGATTCTTTACTCTAGTTGCTTCCCAGGTTAAAATGTGGTAATGACATGATTGTTATTTTTGCAACTATGGCAACCTTTTGTTTGAGAGGAAACGGTATTTAACCGCCACCAATCAATGAGTTTTCGTGTCAGTGGTCTAAACTGCATTTCTAACTAAAACGTGTTTGGGATTTCCATGCATTCCACAAGGAGCGTGTCTTTTTTCCCTTCCATTTCCACCTGCTTTTTCTGTTCTTTTTAACCACAGTTGCTGACACCACTAGAGGTTAGCAGAGGCAAGAAAGCCGATTCTATCCCTGTTGGCAACTCAGTGAGAGAGGAAATTGAATTTTTCAGCGGTATTTTTTCCCAAATGGGAAAAAAAAAAGCTGAAATTGATGTATATATTTAATCTTTATTTTTATTAAGTATTTGTACAAGCCATATATATATATTTGATAATATCTGAATAATCAAAAAGTTAGAGAAGTACCAGTTTTATGAAGTGTGTTGCTTCTACAGTTTAATTTGATTTTAAGGTAAAATTAGTAGAGAGTCCCAGCACCAGCCCTTAACATTGCAGACGAAGCTTAGGGGTCTGGGTTATAGTTAAGGAAACAATATTTCAAAATAATAAGAGGAGCTTGGATTAAAATATTACGTCTGGGGCTTCCCTGGTGGCGCAGTGCTTGAGAGTCCGCTTGCCGAAGCAGGGGACGCGGGCTCGTGCCCCGGTCTGGGAAGATCCCACATGCCGCGGAGCAGCTGGGCCTGTGAGCCATGGTCGCTGGGCCTGCGCTTCCGGAGCCTGTGCTCCGCAACGGGAGAGGTCACAACGGTGAGATGCCCATGTAATGCAAAAAAAAAAAAAAAAAAAAATTACGTCTTCTTGCTTTTCCTCAGTCAAGACTTTGTTTTGTTTTTTAATATATTTTTTTAATGTGGACCATTTTTAAAGCCTTTATTGAATTTGTTACAATATTGCTTCTGTTTTATGTTTTGGTTTTTTGGCCGGCAGGCATGTGGGATCTTAGCTCCCTGAACAGGGATCGAACCTGCACCCCCTGCATTGGAAGGTGAAGCCTTAACCACTGGACAGCCAGGGAAGTCCCTGGTTTTTGCTTTTGGTTTCTGTAAACCCATCTAACACTGTTCACAATAGAGTAGTGCCTATCAAGGGCCACTATAAATCTCTTTCAGTCACCCGAGAACTGGAAAATTACTGAAGACTGCAAGTCTATTCTCTGAAAATCCACATCCTGTAGAGACACAGCCAGCCTGGGCACTGCTGTGGAGCAGAATAGACATAAACCCACACCCTTTTCCTGCACCTTGCCCTTTGAAGCCCAATAAAAGACTCAAACTCCCACCCTTCTGTGCCGATGCCGCTCTACGTGTCTGGCCCCTTTCTTCCCTTGGAAAGTAAATAAAAACTCTCTTTTCTCTCCTTGCTAATATTTCTGTGAATTCTTTCACAACCTATGTTGGCTCACCTAGCAGTTTCCAGCTTGCCCAATTTTTGCTAACACAGATATTTTGACCCATGGGTTTGCATTTCTAGCCTGGGCCAGGCTTGGTCTTCTCTGTTACAGACACTCACACACAACATAACTGTAACTAAAATGAAAGTTTTAGCAAAAATTACTTAGCCTTACTATGTATGATACACCCTGGTATTTATTATTATATTGCAATTGAAAAATGGTAATTAGAACCCGTTGTGTTGATTTCACAGTCCACAATGGGCCACAACCCATAGTTGGCAAACACTGGTATGGAGAAGTTCCAAGACATTGGTGTCAAATAAAAGTGCAATAGGTTCCCCACTTGTTTTAGGCTAGCCGCTTAACCTCTAGAGACATCAAAATCCTCAACTGTAAACTTAGAATAATAACAGAATTTACCTCAACTAGTTTTTATGAAGATGAAATGAGGATAAAAATGAGAAATGCCCACTATGTGGTAGACACTAAACATATGTTAGTTCCTTTCCATATACTATAAAGGTAATGTACTAACATCTCTTTCTCTAGATGGTAAAATAAAATTCACCCAGCAGTGAAAAAATATAGAATTCCAATAGAAAAAAAGGAATGAGCTTCCTCTTCTGTGGAGAGAAGTTAGAAGGGTTTGGGGACAGTTAAGGCAGGATTCAGCCCCAGTTAATGTTTTTGAACAAGTGCATAATGGCAGCCAAAGACTGCCACTGCTCCCTGCTCCTCTCTGTAAGTGAAGTTTTCTGGTTTCAAAGCCCCTCACAGGCCTAAGGTGACAGCTGTGTAAGAACAAAGCTTCTCTGTTTATGTCCTCAGAGTGAGGACAGATGCAATCTGAGACTTGGTTTGGTGCAATTTCACAATGATGCCCACTGATAGGTGAGAATTTGGTCCAAGGAAGAACCACATGGGACCCCTCCAATGCCGCCATAAAGAAGGCAGACACAACCCCTTCTGTTCGAACATACGTTATAAAGTGCAGTTTGCTTCTGTGGTCTGATTCATCCAGCTTCACGGTAACTGAGGGACTGCTAATATGGCAGGAAAGCCCAAGCTTCACTATGTCAACGCATGAGGCAGGATGGTGGCATCTAGGAGGACACCCAAGCATTTTACAGTGTTAAAATGCCATATTCCCTGGAGCACATGTGGGACTCTGTTGAGTGCTTCCCTCTAGAGGTGTCACTGAGAAAAGCACATCTTAACTCAGGTCAGAAGGACACAGCAACTCTGTGCTGGTTTCCTGGGGGAGGGAGTCATGGACAGACTCCAGAGATCTGGTCCCTCAGGGGAGAGCAAGCAGCAAAGGAGGGTTTCAGATGAGGTGTTGTCCTGCAAAGGGAACCTCTAGTGTGCTCTCTTAGCCTCCTAACAGAATGTTTACCTAAGCCTCGGGATTACACTTTCTCGATTGCTTCATGAATGCACAGGACATTAGCCTTGTCCGTTATCAAGTTCATGAAGAAACAAGTACATAAAAATTCCAACAGTGCCAGTTTAGGTTGTTTAATTTCTATAAATCAGCAACCCACAGTTTTCGCTGTGGTCCAGCTTTGGGGTTCAAGGATGTGTTCAGAGCTCCCAGGCAGGATGAGTTCAGCACAGGAGGCTGAAGTAGGGGGGGATTTTGAGAGGATCCCAGGCCTCCTTTTCTTCAGCCCAGCCCGACAGAGGAGGGTGTGGGACAAGGCTTACCAGAGGCTCTTGGTCGGGACTTCTGGGTTCTCTGGGCCCAGAGGCAGATCCTCACAACCCCATCTCCATCGGTCTCACAAGCAACATCACACCAGCTAGTCCCATCCTACCTCGGCCACCCTCCCACAGTGACCACCCACCATCCCTTATGTTGTCTTGAACTGGGTGCTTTATAAATTGTTGCCCACACACCTCACTGTCTGTGTAGTCTGACCCTATGGGATCATGTAGAGCCACAATAAACTGTTCCACTGAGCAAGTTAGAAACCCCCAATTCTCAAACTTTTCACCATCAAGACTCCTTTTCAAAATATGAAGTTGAATGGAGGGAGGTAATATACAGCAGAGGTCCCTGGCGGCAGCATCTTGGGGGTCAGTGGCCCCATGGATACCCCTTGCTGGGGGACACGCAATACCTTGTCCTGATCTCACAGGGAGAGAAAGTCTTTCGAGAGATATTAAAACTCCATAACTAGAAGAACTTCCCAGTCCCTTCCCACCAGTGATATCGCCCTCCCAAATCACTACCTAATCACTGACAGAGGTGGAGGCAGGGTGGAGGTGAATTGAACTTGCAAAATAAGCAGTTACGTGCTGCAACCCATGCTTTTATCTTGGTGGCTCTAATCCAGATTTCCAGGTGGCCATGATCACTGTCTTCTGTGTGATCATCCTGCCAAACTCAGAAATCCTGCAGTCTCCATAGTCTGCACCAGACAGAGGCCATGCTGTGGAATGAAATAACAAAAATGCTGTGGAATGCATGCTCAGTAATGCTGTGGAATGAAATAATAAACATTCACTATTTCTGCTTTCCAGTTTGAAGAGATATTTATGGAAACTTCAGAAGACTTGGATAAGTTAAGAAATGGTAAGACCAAGAAACTAAATTCCTCTGATGGGAGGATCTAGTACAAGTCATAAGTTGAGGTTTGAACCCCAGCAATGCCATGTGTGTGCATGGTGGGAGTGGGGTCAGTGGAGAGGGAGAAGCATGGTTAAAGGTAAGGGGTGGGGCTTCTTGAGCAGGTCTTGCAGCTCACTCAGGACTAGGAAGGGCTGGAACTCTGAGTATTTGCTAAAGGAGCCAGCCCCGGTGCCCTGTGAATGCCGTCTCTGTGCACTCCCTGCCTTTCTGCACCGTGAGTGACTGTATCAGTTCAGGATGCCACACAGCCCTCCCACCCAAGGAAAACAAATGCATTAGAAAGAAGAGGGGAGAAACAGGCCCAGCAGTTGCCTTCAATTCTTTTCTCTGGCAAGTTTGACAAGGTAACATCCTAGCAGTATTGTGGAATTGGTGAGCAGGGAAAGGGTCCTCCACATAGAAATCTCTCAAAACCTGCCTTATATGATGTGAGACTTACTTGAGAACTTCCCATTTGAAATGGCAACCTACTGCAGCTTCTTCCAACTTCTTTCTAAAATATCCGTGAAGACAAATTGACACAGAATTAAAAGGGACCTCCCATGTATCTGAATGGGAAATAAAAAGAGAAATGAAATAATAAGTTCAAAAGTAAAAGGCAGATTGATAGGAAAAAGAAGGACTATAGCAAGCTAAAACCAAATGCCATCCTGCTTAAGCGTTCCAGATCATTTTAGTGTTTCATTTTATATCTACAGTTATTTCAACATTTTTTCATCCTAGAAGGGTATATTTCTTTTCTTCTTTCAAAAGAAGGGAGTTTGATGTTCCAGCAAGTGCCCATGGTTGAAACTGATGGGATGAAGCTGGTGCAGACCAGAGCCATTCTCAGCTACATTGCCACCAAATACGACCTCTATGGGAAAGACATGAAAGAGAGAGCCCTGTACGGTACTTTTTCTGTTCTTTCATCAATGATTAATAGGAACGATCTAGGTCCTTCTCTGAGTGATCAGGATGTGCTCACACGGATCATGACCGACAGCAGTATAGACCTTAGTGGGTATAACTGAGTACAGCAGAGACCTATGAGGATGAGGGAAGAGTGGAACTTGGAGTGGAATCAAGAGCTTATGAAAGAGGATGTGGTCCATGGATATAGTACAGTGACAGAGGTTTCCAAACACAGGTGAACTATAAAGCCAGGAGGATGCTGGAACCATGACTCCAGGAGCTCAGGCTGGGCACTCACCAACAGCTAGAGACAAGGGACAAAGTGTCTGAGTGTCTAGAGGATAAAGAATGGAAAGGGAAGGATCTAAAGGAATTGATTCTTAAGTTTCAGAAATTTTAGTATAATGACCAGGAACCTAATTTATCAGTCCTTTATATGGACTGGTCACTTGACAGAGTAAACAAAGGCTGGTCCTCTAGATGCCAGGATTATCTGGAACATTTTACTGTATGTCTGAAGCAGCCAGATTTATTCAATACAAGCATATTTGAGGGAAATTTGTTCTCTGTTGTGATGGGGCCACATGACTGATACTAAAATCATGTAATGAACTGTGAACAGTTACTCAGAAAGTTACACATATAGTTACCATATGACTCAGCAATTCCACTTCTAAGTACATACCCAGGAGAGTCAAAAATACATCCACACTAAAACTTGTACACAAAAGTGCACAGCAATGTTGATCATAATATTCAAAAAGTGGAAGCAAACAAAATGTCCAACAACTGATGAATTGATGAACAAAGGATGGTACATCCATACAATGGAATATTTTTAGCCATGAACAAGAGTAAAGTACCAATACATGTGACAACATGAATGAACTTTGAAAAGTACTAAATGAAAAACACCGGACACAAAAGGCCACATACTGTATGATTCCAAATGTATGAAATGTCCAGATGCTCAAATCCATAGAAATAGAAAGTAGTTGAGTGGTTACCTGGGGCTGGAATGTGGAGGAATTGGAGAGTGACTGTCAAGGGTACTGGATTTCCTTTTGGATAAAATGATAAAAATAATGTTCTGGAATTAGAATGTGGTGATGGTTTCAGAATGATAGTACAATTTTAAAGATGAAAATGATACCATGTGAATATATTTCAATAAAGTTTTACTTTAAAAAACTCCTATAGGAAGCCCTGTTTGGAACAAAAACAAAAAATCACCCGGAATATACATTGTTGAAAATGTGTGAAGAATTGCACTATTTCATTATATATTTTGTTTTTTTTTAAAGATTTACTTATTACTTATTTATTTATTTTATTTTATTTTTGGCTGCATCAGGTCTTAGCTGTGCCACACAGGATCTTACGTTGTGACGTGCAGGTTTTCTCTCTCTAGTTGTGGCGCACAGGTTCCAGAGTGGTGCGCTCTGTAGTTTGTGGTATGCAGGCTCTCTAGTTGTGGCGCTAGGGCTTAGTTGCCCCTCCACATGTGGGACCTTAGTTCCCTGACCACGGATCAAACCGCGCCCTCTGCATTGTGAGGCGGATTCTTTACCACTGAACCACCAGGGAAGTCTCCTCACGATATATTTTGGGTGGAGTCTTGAGAAATGCAAACAAGGCCAGAGCCAGGCAACCGTATGTGGAGACGGTTGTGGAGTCATGTTCTGTGGGAAATAGTTGGAGGAACTACTGATATTGGGCATCTAAATGGTCCTGGTGGTGTAACAGGATGGGACAGGGAGAGGGATGTGACTGGGACCGTGGTGCCAGGACTCTCTCTGGACATGACTGAGGTGGTACCAACACATCACACCGTGCACAGAACACGCCACAGCAGACATGGCAAACCCCCTGTGTGGTCTCAGTGGTTACCTGTAGTGATTCACCCATTTCTCTCTTGCCTCTGACTCTGGATGGGTCACCGGTGTGCTTTGTCCCTATATTTGATTTGTGTATAACCAAAATATTAGACATATGTCTACCTTAATGGCTTGTTCTAGAATGAAATGTTAAAATTAATAAAACTCATAACTGAATGACTGGCATAGAAAAATGCACCCAGTGGAGGAGAATTACTTTTATCACCTCCTGATGTCCCACTCTTATCCATTCTCAAACTATAAAATCTAAGGCAGGAGACATTTGACAATTTGGTCATTTTGTTTTTCAGGATTGATATGTATTCAGAAGGTGTGACAGATTTGGGTGAGATGATCATGCTTTTGCCAGTGAACCCACCTGATCAAAAGGATGTCAAGATGACGCTGATCTGCGAAAGAACAACAAACCGTTACCTCCCTGCATTTGAAAAAGTGAGTGGACTGTTTAGTGTTTTGGGCACTGAGATCAGAGGACCAAGAAAAATAGTGCCTGGCATTGCAGGGACATTGACCTTCACCTCTGTGAGTATTTCTGAATACTAATGTAACATCCTGATTCTCAAGGTATTTTATAAAAATCGACTATGAGGAAGAATTGTACCAGTTTTACCCAAGTTGTAATTTTTCAGCAAAATTTTGATTTACTTAGACCCAGTCTGGAATTCTCTACTTGATTGAATTTCGTGGTTGTACTTAGATCTTGGGCTGAGAGCCACACTGGAGCCTGGAGTACATGGATCCTGCAGAACACAGTGCAGGGGCTTTGATCCAAGAGGAGCACAATGACAGCAATGCATCAGAAAATATTCTGGTAGCGTGTGTAGGGGGACATGAGACCAGCTGCCCTTCAGAAGAATGTGGTACTGTTTCGGGGATGAATGAGATGTTTCTAAACAGAGATGGGGGCAGTGGGGTGGGGAGGAAGAGACAGAGGAAAAGCTGTTCAGGAAAAAATAATCTACAAATTTTGAGGACATGGCTCTCAGAATTTTGAAGAAAGTCATACAAAACCAAGGAAATGATGTTCCATCATTATACCTAGTATATATCTTAGTTAATGTTTCTCTTTTAAGGTAAGAGGAGAACATTTCAAGATCAAAACTACCTGAAATCATGTGAAACAAAAATCATGAACCAAAAAAAAAATGACTTAAAGAGATTCAGGAGACTTACGTATAAATAAGAAGATTAACAACACCCACATCTTTATAAAGCATAGGGACATTCTTTCATTTATTCAGCAAATGCTAATTCATTGCTTGCATGTCCAGCCATGATATTCAAGGAGTGAAGAATTTAACAGTAATCACAAAGCATACCCTCCTGGCCCTTGTGGTGCTGAGTGTTTACGGAACTTTCACATGATGATAAGCTCTTCAGTGATTGCAGTTTGAGTACAACTATACTTTGAAAACAAAGGGCCCCATGACAACATAAGTAAAAATTATATATTACAAAATACGTTTATTGTTTGTTTGTTTGTTTTTTTGGCTGTACTGCGTGGCTTGCAGGATCTTAGTTCCCCAACCAGGGATCGAACCCGTGCCCCCTGCAGTGGAAGCATGGAGTCCTAACCACTGAACTACCAGGGAATTCCCTATTACAGAATACGTTTTGATGTTATTATATTCTTTTCCAAATAATTATCCATTTGTCCATACTTCTACATGTATACATAAGCTGAAAGTGTATTTGCTAAAATGTTATTATCTTTAGTTGGTGGTGCTGTGTGTGTTTTTTCTCTTTGTACATTATGATTTCCAGATTGGTGGAATATTTTAATAAATATCACATTTCCCTAACATATTATTATAAAAAGTTTCATACATGCAGAAAAGTTTAAAGATGTATAAAATGAACTCATATGAACCCACCACGTGGATACCAAAAAGCTTTGTTTTCCATTATCATATGTCATTATCTCTCCATTCTTGTTCTGTCAATCAAACGTATTATTTTGGATAGATTTCAAAGTGACTTTAAGTCATCAGGGAAGTTCATTCCCAGACATTACAGCATGTGGATCGTACCATGCTGCAAGTTAGGAGTCAGGGAGATGGGAGTTCAAGTTGATCCAGGTTTATTTCAGGTCCCAGAGAGAGAGACCAGGAAACCAGGAAGCAGAAAAGAGGAGAAATGTAGACTCTGAAATGGTTTTCTCAGGGTTGAAGAAGACTGTCAAGAAGTTGGAGTCACCGCCCAAGGGAGAAAGATGAGAGGGATATGAAGGGCCATGTCATGAAGCCCAGGGCTGCACACTTTAGGGTGTGGGGCAACAGAAACACTGTGCAGACCATGCTAAGCCCTTGGCTCAGGGGAAGAAGCAAGTAAGTCAGCCAGAGTGAGGTGGGCCCAGGACGAGGAAATGGTGGTCGGGCTTCCACAGAGGATGAGGAGGGGACACCAGGGACCCACTTGGCCTGTCTTACTGATTCGGGGGGAGCAGAAGGCTTCTTTATTGAGAAGCCTCCTCAATGAAAAGCCCAAGTAGCCCCTGCTCGCCACAACTAGAGAAAGCCCACCTGCAGCGACGAAGACCCAACACAGCAAAAAAACAAAACAAAACATGTCACGTTTATGGCAACACTATTTAAAAAAGCAAAGATATGGTAGCAACCTAAATGTCCATCAACAGATGAATGGATAAAGAAGATGTGGTACATATACACAACAGAATATTACTCAGCCATAAAAATGAACAAGATGAGGCCATTTGTAGAGACATGGATGGACCTATAGACTGTCATACAGAGTGAAGTAGGTCAGAAAGAGAAAAACAAATATCATATATTAACGCATATATGTGCAATCTAGAAAAATGGTACAGATGAACCTGTTTGCAAGGGAGAAATAGAGAGACACAGATGTAGAGAACAAACTTATGGACACCAAAGAGGGGAAAGGGAGGGTGGGATGAATTGGGAGACTGGGATTGACATACATACACTAATATGTATAAAATAGGTAACTAATGAGAACTTGCTGCAGAACACAGGGAATTCCACTTCGCTGCACAGTAGAAACTAACACAACATTGTAAAACGTCTATACCCCAATAAAAAAATAATAATAAAATAAAATTTATTATGTAAAGAATAATGAAATAATGCCATTTGCAGCAACATGGATGGGCCCAGAGATTATCATATTAAGTGAAGTAAGTCAGACAGAGACAGATGTCATATGATAATATATTGCTTATATGTGGAATCTAAAAAAAAAAAAAAAGATACAAATGAACTTATTTGCAAAACAGAAATAGACCCACAGACCTAGAAAAAAAAAAAAACTTATGGTTACCAAAGGGGAAATGTTGGGGAGGGATAAATTAGGAGTTTGGGAGTAACATATACACACTACTATATATAAAATAGATAACCAACAAGGATGTACTGTATAACACAGGGAACTCTTCTCAATATTTTGTAGTGACTTATAAGGGAAAAGAATCTGAGAAAGAATATATATATGTATATATATGTAAATATGTATAACTGAATCACTTTGCTGTACACCTGAAACCAATACAACATTGTAAATTAACTTCAATTAAAAAAGAAAAAAAAGTTTAAAAAAAAACTGAAGGAAAAAAAAAGCCATACTTCAATACTTCACTCACTGGCAGAAAGGGTCCAATCAATCTGAAATTTTGTATTTAATTGCCGACCTTGAAAAGATATTAACCAGTTGTAGCATGATAAGGGAATGACTCATCATTTTTCTTTTTTTAAATCTAGCATGGAACCAGTGGCCCTGAATGCTGTGGGAGGGGCTTTTCCCTAACCCGACTCTCTCTGCTTCAGAGAGGAGTTCAGTCAACTGTAACAACAGCTTATAAACACATGTGGACTTGGCTTTGAGGTGCTGAGCCAAGTGGGAGACAGACTTTCATAAGGTACGTACTGATTTTATACATCTGTATAGTGTGCTCATAGCACAAGAAAAACTGTTTTATACTCACATTGTGCCTTCTTGCTGTGCTTAGGGGACAATTTTAGTCCATTGCTGTTGGATACATCGTTACAGAAATGTAAAAATGAAGAATTTAGAAACCTAGGCATGAGAATTTAGATCTGAGAAAAATTAATGATATGAGGAGAAAAAAGAATGATAGCATTTTAGACAATCGGAGAATATGACCAGTGTGTGAGAGAGTGTAGGTGTTTATGCTGGGGTAACTTTCTCTGTAGAAGTAGTCAGTTCACAACAAGTGCAAATTGTGATGCTGTAATACTGTGTGGGCTGTGAAAAATCAAAATTAAGATTCATTAAAATGGGAATAAGTCTGAATGTCAACAGAAAATTAGAGTGGGCTGTGGCAATTCCCCTTCTCTCTCTGGGATTTAAGCAACTCATGGCAAACCTCCAAAGGAAGTCTTGATGGGAAAACTAGATAATACGGGAGCAGATAATTAGCTTTTAAAAAATACAGAAATCCACCTGGCTAGAAGGTACAAGTCATTCAAATTGGAATGTAGGCGTGAACAATGCACTGTTATAAGTATTAATGTTGGGGGGAAAAAACAAAGGCCTTAGGAGAGGTTCAGTGAGATCCCGTGAAAGTCCTAGAGCTGTCCAGGGCAGGATGAATTCACAGGAGAATTATAGTATCTGAGACTGAAAAGAGAAGATATGGATACAGCAATGACGAGAAGCACTTTGCAAGATGCTACAGACAGCAGCATTTGGATCCCATGACACGTGGGGTAGAGTCATTAACTTGGAGCCTGAGATGCAGTGGAGCTGGGGCCACCTGGGCAGGTGGGCAGCAACCTCTGCTTTCTCAGCCTGCAGCCGTTCCCCTTGCTCTGCCCTGCTTGGCTAAGAGAATCATGGTTCTTGGGTAGAACCAATAAAGTGAAGTCACTGATGGGCCCTTTATGCGCTGTCAGTTGTCTACAAACCTGTTTTTCTGACTAGATTTAAACCCCTTTAGGGCAGCCACCACATCAGGCTCCTATCGTGTTCCCCAGCAGCCATCATTTCTTAGCACAGGAAACTGCCCAATGAGTCTTAGTTGAGGAAGTTTGAAGGAAACTTGTTAAGAGAAGGAAATATGTTACACGTCAACCAGAAACAAGGTGTTCAAGAAGGATCAGTGAAACGTCTGCATTTCCAGGGAAGAAACAGGAGGTAGGAGACAAGGGATCTTTTCCATCAAGTGTTGACAGTGAGACCCTGAGCTCCTGCTCTAAAAAGCAGTGGGTGGAACCCACTGCCATGGCTGGAACCCATGCAAAGCGGCTGGGGGACCAGCAGTTTCCGGAGTTGTCCAGATCAGGGAGTGAGTGGGGCTGGGGCCAGGCCTGAGGGGAAAGGCAGGTAGGGTGCATGGTTCAGGGGCAGAACCAGGGGTTAGCTGCGGTCCTGGGGTTTTGAAAGGCTGTGTTCAGTGCTGTGTCAGACTGCATTGAATCTTCGCCAGAAACTTCCTGCATTCCAGGTTAACTAATCAGTGAACATCACTCATCTTTCACACAAGCCAAATAAAAAGGGAGCCATTGTATAACTTGGCTGAAAAAAGTCTGGATATGTATAAAATCTCATTCCTACTGGAGCTATGGGTCAAGAGGTAGGTAGGTAGGTAGATAGATAGATGTAGATAGACAGACAGTTACAGACAGAAGAAAGAAGACGCGTGGGCTATCCGGTGTGCTCAGAGACTCGCCTGTCTCTCAGGAAATGAGAGCAGGAGGGAAATTGGATTTCCTGGTCCCTATTATGAATTTTTTATACCTTATCTAGTTTTCTCAACCATCCTCACTAATAGATATAACTATATAACTATATATATATATATATTTTTTTTTTTTTTTTGTGGTACGTGGGCCTCTCACTGTTGTGGCCTCTTCCGTTGCGGAGCACAGGCTCCAGACGCACAGGCCCAGTGGCCATGGCTCATGGGCCCAGCCGCTCCGTGGCATGTGGGATCTTCCCGGACCGGGGCACGAACCCGTGTCCCCTGCATCAGCAGGCAGACTCTCAACCACTGCGCCACCAGGGAAGCCCGATATAACTATATTTTAAAAGAGAACATTGAGGTACAGAGATAAGACAACCCTCCCCTGGGTTTACATACCTTATAAAGGAAAGGAGTTGGGCTTTGTCTCTAAGCCTCCCTTCTCTCTGCTAAGAAACGCTGTCCTTAGGAGCACCCCCAGAGACACAGATCCTTTATCTCACACTGGAATTATCCCAGGATACATTCCTTTTAGGGAATATAAGCCTACTTCCTTATGAAGGTCAAATATATTTATACTAGTGCTCAATTTACTCACAGTAAATTTTCAGGATGTCAGAGTAAAACAAGGCACACTTTTGTCCATTTTTCCTCATATCGAGCCCTTAAGAATCAGCTAACAAAAAGGAACTCGTGAATTTGATGTTTCCTTCTCTTCTTCCCATTTAACTGTTAGTTGGCTAATGGATTCCGAATGGGGAAAAAATTAATAAACGAGGGTCTCAGAGAGCAGCAGAGAGACTGCCTAAGCATTACTTGGTTGGGCGGTGGCAGCCCGGGACCGGAAGTCAGAAGATGCCTTCAAATGACCCTAATGCTCACAAAACATGTGAGCTAGGAAAGTAGCTTTACCTCTTTGAATTTCAGTTTCCTTCTCTTGACAATAGGATATTAGAAGCTGTTTCCCGGGGTTGTCCTGAGGGTGAACACAGTTGCTAGATATTGAGTGTGAATCAGGAACACACGTGTGTGACTGATGGCAAATCATCGAATCTCTCTAGTTCCTCATTTTCTGGGGACCGGGAAGTTTACGTCACCTTTGCCCCAGCCTTGAACAGGCCTTTGGAAATCTCTTATTTGAAAGGTGAAGAAAGCTGCTTACAAGGAACATACGATAAAATATTACATAAGTGAAAAATTCATTTCCTTTTGTAAGGTGATCCTCAGTCACTGGATAAGGGAGCTTAGTGTGAGGGGGACCTGTGACCTCTGGTTCACAGCAGCACCCTTCACAGAATTCTGCTGAATCACAGCACCTCCATTTCCCGTGACAAGAAAGTACACAGTCTCCAATTACAAGACAGATGAGTTGAGTATGTTTCCAAAGGATTCTTTACTTTCTAAAGGTTAGACCACTGAGTCCTTACTTTAAAAATGTGGATGTTGGGACTTCCCTGGTGGCGCAGTGGTTAACAATCTGCCTGCCAACGCAGAGGACACAGGTTCAAGCCCTGGTCCGGGAAGATCCCACATGCCGCGGAGCAAACTAAGCCTGTGCGCCACAACTGCTGAGCCTGCGCTCTACAGCCTGCGAGCCACAACTGCTGAGCCCACGTGCCACAACTACTGAAGCCCGGGCGACTAGAGCCCGTGCTCTGCAACAAGAGAAGCAATAAGAAGGCGGCGCACCGCAACGAAGAGCAGCTCCCGCGCGCCACAACTAGAGAAAGCCCGTGTGCAACAACGAAGACCCAACGCAGCCAAAAATAAATAAAATAAATTTATTTTTAAAAATGTGGATATTGAAAACACTTTGATATCTAAAATAAAGTCATAACGTACTTTTCAGGGAGATCTTTATTGGGTAAAGAGAAGTCTATTTTTGTCCCAAACGCCACAACCACGAAAATTTGCAAGAGAATCTTAATGTTTTTCAAACGGAGCTTGAGAAACTCTCCGCGGCCGTGGCAGCGGCTGCTCTTCTCCGGGTTCTGTCACGGTGGCCTGTGGTGCCCAGCTCTCCGGTCCCCTCCCCCTTCCGGCGAGAGTGGTCGCCAGGGAGGCCCTCTCAGCCCTGCTCTGCGGGGTCCACAGGGGGGCGTGGGTGCTGGGCGGCGGCGAGCCGGTGGGCAGTGGGGCTTGTTCCCGGGGCCCCCGGCGCCCGGTGCAGAACGGCGGCGGCGGTTCGCGTGAACATCCAGGTGCTGCTGGGGGCGGCCGACCGCCTGGAGCGGCGGGAGAGAGAAGCTGAACACGGTATGCCTCCATGTTACCGTGCAATAACAAGGACAGAGATGCCTTAAAACGGAGGAGCAAATCCCACAAGACTGAGCTGCTCTCCCTGTTCCATGTGCTTTGTGACCACCTAGAGGGGTGGGATAGGGAGGGTGGGAGGGAGGGAGACGCAAGAGGGAAGAGATATGGGGACATATGTATATGTATAACTGATTCACTTTGTTATAAAGCAGAAACTAACACACCATTGTAAAGCAATTATACTCCAATAAAGATGTAAAAAAAAAAAAATCCCACAAGAATAACAGCAGTAGCAGATCTGTTCACAGTGAAATGGAGAAGAATAGACGGGCCCACCCTGGCTTGTGCCTGGAAAAGTTGAAGGGGCTGATGCCACTTGGTCCGGAATCAAATGGACACACTACGTTGAGTTTATTAACAAAAGCAAAATTGCACATAAAGACACTTGAAGGTTGTGACAGAAAAGCCATTCACCAAATAGACCAGCTTCAGCGAGAGCAGTGACACCTGAAGAGGCAGCTGGAGAAGCTGGGCATCGAGAGGATACAGATGGACAGCACAGGCTCCACCGTCTCCTCGGAGCCTCCAACTCCGACGGGGAAGAGAGGAATGTGGACGCCGAAAGCACAGACTGCCTCACGGGCGACCTGGCCTGGAGCCGCAGCAGCGCGAGCGACTCAGACGAGCGGGGAAGCATGCAGCGCCTGGGCAGCGAGGAGGGCTACTCCAGCTCCAGCATCAAGAGAAGAAAGCTCCAGGACGGCCACAAGACACGTCTTGGTCTCTAGGAGAGCGTGGTCGCTTCGGCTGCCGCCCGGGTGGTCCTCCCCGTCGGTTCTGATTAGGTAGCTTATCGGACCTGCTCAAAATTCCCTCGCACGTCGGCCTCCGTGTACCACCGTCACCAAAAGCAGCTGTGTGAAAGTTGTCAAGGAAGTGCTTAGGATTGTGGGTTTCTTTTCTTTTCTTTTCTTTTTCTTTTTTAAATTTAAGTCCCATCCCCATCTTTAATGGGGTTGAGCGGGCCCCCGCACCTGCTGGCGTAGGGTAGGCACAGCTGAGCCAGTCAGTGCAGCCTGGACACCTAAGGGCATCACAGACCCGTTATTGCTCCGTCTGGGGTGGCTGAATGCCACTCGTCCCTCTAAGAAGTTGGAGGACACAGACCAGGATTGTGGGTTTCTGATTGCATCCTCTAGCTTCTCTCTTTCTCTCCGTAAAAATTCGTCTCTGAGAGACTGTACATTCCAATCAATTTGAACCACCCAAGAATTCTTAGGCCGAATAAGACTTCTCACGTCTCGGCCATTTCCCCCCTTTTATTTACTGTCCCCGTGTAGTCTACCAGACCTTCCTTAAAGTTCTCTGGCTTCCTATGTGACTTGCCTAGCAGAAATGTCCGAATGTGTCTTGCGCTTAGGAAACTGAAGGAAACAAACTTTTAAAGTTGAGATCCTGATCTCAAAACTTCAAAGTAAGCTTTGAAAGTGGGATTTAAGAGCGCTTAACCATGGCCCTCACCGCCCGTGAGCAGGCAGGAATACCTCCAGAAAACACACCCTTCACACACACCCCGCGCCAACGCCCCCGACCCGGGTGTGGATGGGAGCAGTATTTCTCACTCTCAAATGGACCCCTTGCGAACACGTCTTTGGGGTAGCACAGCTAATAAAAGTTCCAACATCGTTTGTTCTCACAAACAGAACGGTACAATCTATTTTTGTGCGCAGTTCTTGGGATCGTGCTGTGTCCCGCTCTCCCAAGACACATTTCCCCTCCAAGTCGGTTATGCTCCTGGTCTCTGGAACATTTTTTTTCCCCTACCTCAGAGATAAATGAGATCTCCATTTCCCACTTAACACAAACTGATTATGCCTCTTTTTTTGTTTGTTTTTTTCTGAATAAGTGACATTTGGTCCAATTCTAACCTATTTTCCTGTTTAACTTTCAGCAATAACTGAGCTTTGGTGCTAGCTGAGCTAGTGTGCAACATCAGTGAAAAGAAAAGTCCACATTTCTCCTCTCTGTTGCAGGTGAACAGGAGGGGATGGTACAGCATTACGAGAATTCCTCTCCTTATTGATTATTTTTGGACACACCCAGAAACTTCTTTAAGGAGGCTTTTGGGTTAATAGTTTAAAAGGCTGATTTTTCTTTTTGGTTATGATTTCTCCCTTAAGTCGTCTCCCACTTTGTAGCATTTTTGTTTAAGCTAAAACAGAGCACATGTATATGTACATGACACATTAAATCTATAAATACTATTTATTCATTTGATATAAACTAATGTAATGGAAAATAAATTCTTATGACTGTGCTTTTATAGATGTTCTAGAAACTTTGTATGTAGGTATCTACAGACTTGGTTCATTTCCCCTTACTATTTTTGCATTCATATTTTTGAGGTCTCGGTATTTTCAGCCTCTGGTGAATCTTTTTCATTGAATTTGAACCATTTGTAAAACCTGTGACGCTGAAACAGAGCGTGTGTCACAAAGTGATGAGAACGTTCCTAAATCCACAGCCGCACCGCAACTTCAGGGCTCCCCGGCTGAACCAGTCGCGGCGGCGCCTGTGCCCCCGGCTGGCCTGTGGTCTCCCCGGCCCCAGCCTCACGTCCTCAGCGCCTCTTCCTTGCCCACGACTAAAAGTTCAAGCGCACTCCTCATGGAATCTCATTCTAGACGTGAAGAGCAGTTGAAACAAAGATTACTTTTGTCTTTATTTTTTCTTTTTATTGATTTCTTAATGTATTAATTTTTTTAAATTGGAAGTAGTGATTCCTAAATGATTCCAAAGTCATCTGTAATTCTTCTATTTTTGTTTTGTTCTCTTTTTCTCTTCCTTTCAGCTCTGGGTGTGGGGAGAGGCAGGTGACACAAAGGACTTTTTCTTTTTTATCGTTGGAATCTTTTCCAGTTACCAGCTGAAGATTTGCGCTGAAATACAACTTATATGCCTTTTGCATTTTTAAAGCCTGCTTCCTGAATTTAAGCAGAGTGATAGTGTTCAAAGAGCCAGTTCAGCCTGTAACATGTTTGAAAAAGATATATCTGCACTTTTAGGTCCCTTTCAAATGCCATTCGCTAGACCTCGCAAGCATTTTAATTGCTACATTCAAGCGCCTCACAAGTCCACGGTGCTGGGTGCTGTACGGCATCGAAAACTCAAGACTTTGGGAAAAGCTTGTGGGCTTGCGCTGGGGGAGTGAAGGGAACAAAACTTGTGTATTTGTTTGTTTAATTTAGAAATAAGGCATCTGCGAGATGCCATTATTTTCTGTGTTTTAATTGTTGTGCCTTTGAGTTAAACTGCATTTTTGTCTTTTGGTTGAAATATGAAATGTACTGTCCCAATATTAAATAGTAATTATTTGAAAGAAGAAACAGAGCTTGGGATTTGGATAGAAAATGCAACTGTTTCTCCCTAAGTCCTGGCTTTGGGACTCCTGCTTTTAATGAGTCCTGTGTGTTTCCCATTCACACCCATGATGGAACTAGTTCTGTCCATTGTCGAAGCCTTTGAGTTTCATTCTCTGGTTCCCTGCTATGTCCATTCCTCATGCAGGCTGCTGTAGACCAAGGGCTTTCAAACTGCACTCACCCGACAAGACCCAAGTATCTCTTACCATTACAGTGAACAAATGAGTGTGCACACGTGCTTTCTTTCACCCATACATGCAACAAAACTAAAAACTCATAGAACAATGCTTACCTCTTCGACATGTAAGGCACTCTGGTATTTTCTATTTTCTTCTACTTTATTTTAAAAATCGGTGGATTTCACAATCCACTGAAGGATTGTCATGTATATTTTGAAAAACATGAATATGGAAAAATGAAGCCTAGACTTGGGTTCATACAGAAATGGATTTGAATCCCAGGTCCGCCACCTACTTTGAGCAAGTTACCCTAGAAACCTCAGTAACCCCAACTGTAAAATGAGAGCAGTGACAAACTTCACTGCAGTTGATTTTTGTAGGGATAAATGAAAATAAATTTGTGAGAATGCCCAGTGTATGACAGACATTGAACAAATCTTAGTTCCATCCCATGCTGTAAAATTAATGCAGCAACATCCCTTGTTGTAGGTATAAGATGTACCAAGAGAGGTTATGTAGAATTCCAAAAAAAAAAAAAAAAAGGGAAGGAATTAGCATCCTGTGTTTGTAGAGAGAACTAGGAACTTTTGAGCGACCATTAAGCAAATCTGAGCCCCGTCTCAGCTTTTGAACAAATGCAGCATAACAGCCAAGGAGCTGAAGACAGACTCTGCAGCCTCCTTTTCACTGTCAGCGAAGTCCTCTGGCTCCAAGGCCCCTCCCTCCCAGGCTCCCAGGGCCTGCATCTGTGTGGGTTCCAGCCCTGCCCTCTTTTTAATCCTGGGCGTGGATTTCCATGAATGTCATTTAAGCTCTGAGCGTCTGTTTCATTAACGGAAAAATGGAGATAATAACTATTTCATGAGACTGTTGTGAGGATTAAAGATATAATGCATCCAAAGGGGTTAGTGTTGGGTCAGGACCATTAGGAGGTTTTTAATAAATACTAGTTCTTTAGTCATTCTGCTCCCTAACCCCCAGCCATGCATCCTCACCACAGACTCACCTCTTAGCCTGCCAAGACAATCAGATTTTACCCAATGGAGACTGGACAATGGTTTGGTGCAATTTCCCACGGTTGGCTATTGGGGGTGGGAATTTGGGCCAAGGCAGACATTCCAGGGACTCTTCGGACTCTGCGACAAAGGAGGCCAATACTTCTTCAGCATTGTTGGTGCTGTTCAGTCATATATCATAAAGTACATCTTGCTTCTGTGGTTTTATTCTTTGTTCATTCATTTACTCATTCATTCATTCATCCATTAAAGTTTAGAGAAACCAGGAGACTGCCATCATGGCGGGGAAACCCAAGCTTCACTACTTCAATGGACGGGGCAGAATGGAGGCCATCCGGTGGCTCCTGGCTGCAGCTGGAGTAGAGGTAGGTCCTGAGTTTGTTCATCTGAAGTTGAATCTAAATTAACTGTATCAAAGTACTTTTCTCACGTAAGCTAGGGGACTTTTCTAACTAAATGATCTGTTAAGAGTTCTGCATTAAAACAAATTTGTCAGTTATTTAAGAGATAAACAGATTTGTCCTAATATGTTATTAAAATGTCTTCTTATTAGAGAGAATAAACAGAGTAAATTTAAGAAACAAATCGCATCGTGTGGGCCTAATTTGGATTTTGATTTTTAAAATTATAAAATATTATTTATGACATTTATACAGCTGTCAAAAACATAAACAAAATATCAGTTGATCTTTAGTAAACTTTGTTAATGTGTTACAGGTGCTATAATGTATTGTGGTTATTTTTAATAGTTTTAATGTTTTAGAAATATACACTGAACTATCTAAAGTTGAAATATAAGATATCTGGGATCTCTTTCAAATTATTACGAAGGGGAGAGGGGGTAGGCATATAGATAACTCACAGCTGGGTTGAGCTGATAATTATTGAAGCTGGTTGATGGGCACAAGGAGGATTATGATAATTTGCTGTTCATTTTTCTGTATGCTACAAATGTCCATAACAAAAAGACAAAAATATACATATTAGAAAGTAAATGTAATTAAAGTTAAAACATAAACCAGAAATACAGAGAGGGGCGGATTGTAACAAACTGCCTGTTAGATTTAATGCATTCACTCAGCAATGAATTTGTTGGGCACCTTGAAGTGCTAGGTTCCCTGCCAGGTCTTGGAGATATGGGGGTGAACTAGACAGACACAGTCCCTGCCCTCAGGCAGCTTACACTCTAGTGAGGATGCAGACAAGTAAATATGTGATTAAAAGAGGGGTGGGAGCATCTAGGAGGACACCCAAGCACTTTAAAGTGTTAAAATGACAGATTCTCAGGAGCAAGTGTGGGACTCTGTTGAGTGCTTCCCTCTAGAGGTGTCTCTGAGAAAAGCACTTCTCAGCCCAGGTCAGAGGGACACAGCAACTCTGTGCGGGTTTCCTGGGGAGGGAGTCATGGACAGACTCTGGAGACTTGGTCCCTGAGGGGAGAGCAAGCAGTAAAGGAGGGCTTCAGGTGAGGTGGCATCCTGCAAAGGGAACCTCTAGTGTGCTCTCTTAGCCTCCTAACAGCATGTTTACCTAAGCCCCTGTGTTCAGAGCTCCCAGGCAGGATGAGTTCACCACCAGAAGGTGAAGTAGGGGGGGATTTTGAGAGGATCCCAGGCCTCCTCTTGACCAGCCCAGCCTGACTGAGGAGGGTGTGGGACAAGGCTTACCAGAGGCTCTTGGTCGGGACTTCTGGGTTCTCTGGGTCCAAAGGCTGATCCTCACAACACCATCTCTGTCAGCCTCACAAGCAAACAGCCCACCAGCAAGTCCCATCCTACCTCGGCCACCCTCCCACACTGACCACCCACCACCCCCTATGTTGTCTAGAACTGGGTGCTTTATAAATTGTTGCCCACACACCTCACTGTCTGTATAGTCTGACCCTATGGGATCATGTAGAGCCACAATAAACTGTTTAGCAAGTTAGAAACTCCCAATTCCCAAACTTTTCACCATCAAGACCCCTTTTTAAAATATGAAGTTGAATGGAGGGAGGTAATATACAGCAGAGGCCCCTGGCGGCAGCATCTTGGGGGTCAGTGGCCCCCTCTGGGTCCAAAGGCTGATCCTCACAACACCATCTCTGTCAGCCTCACAAGCAAACAGCCCACCAGCAAGTCCCATCCTACCTCGGCCACCCTCCCACACTGACCACCCACCACCCCCTATGTTGTCTAGAACTGGGTGCTTTATAAATTGTTGCCCACACACCTCACTGTCTGTATAGTCTGACCCTATGGGATCATGTAGAGCCACAATAAACTGTTTAGCAAGTTAGAAACTCCCAATTCCCAAACTTTTCACCATCAAGACCCCTTTTTAAAATATGAAGTTGAATGGAGGGAGGTAATATACAGCAGAGGCCCCTGGCGGCAGCATCTTGGGGGTCAGTGGCCCCATGGATACCCCTTGCTGGGGGACACGCAATACCCTGTCCTGATCTCACAGGGAGAGAAGGGCTTTCCAGAGATATTAAAACTCCATAACTAGAGGAACTTCCCAGTCCCTTCCCTCCAGTGATTTCCCCCTGCCAAATCACAACCTAATGATTGACAGAGGTGGAGACGGTGTGGAGGTGAATTGAACTTGCAAAATAAGCAATTACGTGCT